TGGGGTGTGGGAGGTGGGGACTGTACCAGGTGACTGTGTCAGAGGGGAGTGGCATCAAAATATGTAAAAAAGTTGTGTGTGTCAGCAGAAATATATATATTTTTAATGAAAATATCTTTGTAGCTAGTTATAACAACAGAAACATTTTTGTTAACCCAGCTTACATATATCAATATACTTGCAAGGCTAAAATGGTATGCTAATTTACATTTTGAACCGTCTAATGTTTTCTGGCAAGAGCTATCAATGTTACTCAATTACAATGACACTTTGAATCACATGGTTCATCTCTACATATTACAAGCACATGCTATTGTTTTCATGGTGGCCAGTTTTTTATAGTGGTTGATTATGTCAAATTTTCTGGTGTTTTAGCTACAGTATTGTAACAACTGGTATTTGTGAACCTATGGCAATAGCTTTTTTTTTTATTATTATTAAATGTTTTTATTTTGGATTGAGTGAAAGTTTACAGGGCACATCATCAGCTTCACATTCAACCATTCATATAGCTTGTTTCATTACATTGATTATCCCCTCCATATATCATCAGTTAACAGTGTTTCTCTCTATCCTCTTTAGCTTTTTTTTTTTTTGCGGGGGGGGGGCATGGGGAACTTGCCTTTTTGGAATTTACAGTCTCGGCTTTTAGGGAAGGTTTTTACATTTGTCTGTGGATATCCAGGGCTCATGTATGAGATTATTGACAAGCATTACTGAATAATCAGATGAGGGACAGTTTGCTATGTCTACTAGGTGGCTAAAGTCTGATCCTCAGAGCCTATGGTTTGGATGGTCAACAACACTTGGGCCCAGGCAATAGCTTTTTTGACAATAAAGTAACACTTAAAGAAAAAAAAGACTTCTACTCGGTTACTAATAATGTAAAATTGTTGTAAATCCATATAGAAAGATTTCATAAAATAATTTTGTTAGCATTCCCATTATCTAAGACATACTACATTGAAGCAATTTACAACTATATTTCTCAATATTGTTTGAGGATAAAAATGAGTAATAAATATTTCTAAGGGTTCTTTAAAGGAACTCTGGTGATGCAGTGGGTAATACTGGACAGCGCATGAAAATATTGATGTTTTGAATTCACCACCCACATTGTAGAAAAAGATGAGGTCTTCTGCTCCCATAATGATTTGCTTACTCAGAAATCCTATGAATCCATTCTACTTGATTTTATAGGGCCAGTATGAGCTAGGGAAGGATTCTGTATTGTCTGGCATGGGAGGAGATTCATGGTGTGTGTGTGTGTGTGTGTGTGTGGGGTTACACCAAGAGTTAACACACTAGGTGACACCAACCCTAGTGACACCACTACTAAAGCTGATCCTTCTTTTCCACGTCTCTCACTTTTAGCAACAACAGATCTTAAAAGATACAGATGGATAGAAAATGCAATATAAAAAGAAGCATCTCCTGTAGGAAGGAAGTGTGGTTGGGGGTGTGTCGGGTAAAGTTGGGAGTGGATGCCGTTTTGAAACTGAAGGAGAGAGACTGAAGATAAGATTTTGAATAGAATGAAAGGATAAAGGACAACTTAATGATAAAAACAAAGAAATCATAAAGAATACATTATTTGTGTGTGTGTGTTTGATTTATGAGTGTGCTGATGATTATCAATGCCTTGCTAGAGTTGTTTCTGCAAGATAGCCTAGATACACAAACATTAAGCATGTATTAGAGCAGAGTTTCAGAAAGAATGTTCTAACAATAAAAATCTATTTCAGAGGGTGGGGAAGAATCAAAATGACAGAGGAAGAATGGAGGATAGACTTATGTTAAATGGCAAACTAGGTAAAAACACTACTCAGACCCTCTACAACAAGGATATGGAAAACCAAATGAAACAGATGCAGATGATAGTCCAGGAACCATGAGCTTCAGATGAAGGGATAGAGAAGTAAATTGAAAGCTTACTAGAAGTAGCTGAGCAAACATAGCAGAACAAAAGGAGATAGATAGGTGAACTGTGCAGGCCAGCCAGGTGAGGAGTGGCTCTCTTGAGTTTTTGTGAGTGGCTGTGGAAACAGACAATGGATTGGTGATGTAGAGGCATATTGGTGACTGGTGGTGAGAGAGAGGTGGCATTGTTTTCTTGTTATTCGATTCCCCTGATGACCAGAGCTATGGCCAGCCCCCACCCACATACACTTCCTGTGAATTCCTGCACTCTGGGCAGTTGGAGGTGCATAGTGGTGAGCTGTACAATAGTGAGTAGCATCAAAGTGAATTGGGTGCTAGCTGTACCAACCCAGCATCTGGATTCAAGTGAGGCCTGATGCAGACCTGCAGAGTCAGTCCTGGACAGTAGTGGACTAGTGGAAATTCTTGTGATCAACTGCCCTGCTACTCCTGGCTTCTCTCTGGGCCAGAAAGACTCTGGTCCTGGTTGCTTTGGGGTCTACAGGAACTATTTCTGGATTGGGTGCCCAGAACAGACAATGCCCAAGTCTATAGGAACTTCAACATGGCCGGAGTGTCATGGTCTCATTCCTTGCCCACCCACCACGTGAGCTCCTTGGCTGGCAGGAGTTCCCCAGAATTTTCTTCTCTCTCTGGTGTCAGCACTAGGTATTTTTTTTTTTTTTTTTCCTTTGATTGATTTTGTTTGTTGATTCTTTCTTCTTCATCTTCCTCTCTTTCCCTTCCTTTGTTTTTTCATTCTTATATCTCTGTTGTCATGTTTTCCTTCTGTTACTCTTTCCCCCAACTTTTTCTTCTTCTTCTTCTTTTGGTTGCTTTATGTTTCTTTACTACTCTGTGGTCTCTTTTTCTTTTCTTCATCACTTTCTCCCTAATTATGTTTAATGCTTTTCTTTCCTTTTATTTTCTCTTTTACACAGTATTTCCCCCCTTTTCCTGCTTTTTCATTATTGTATTATCTTTCTTAGCTGTGTTCTGATTTTCCTTCCCCCTCCCTTTATTATTTATTTATTTTGATGTTATTTTCTTGTTTGTTTGTTTGGTGTTCTCTTGTGTATGTGTCTTTTCTCTTCATGCCTCACTTGACAGAGATAGCAACCATGCCCATACATCCCAGCCACTGGCCAGCACAGTCCACTTGTCTATCTCTTATTATTATTATTATTTTTGCTCTGTCTTTTCAATCCACTTTTCTATCTCTTCATCAGAAGTTCATGGTTCCTGAACTATCATCTGTATTTGACTTCTATTCTCTAGTCACACCTGCCAGTTGGTGAGTGCCTAGAAACAAACCAACATACAATCATCAATTAAATATAGATATAAACACAGCACATTGCCTTGGGGGCAACAGACACTATCTATTCACATGAAGAAATAAATCAAAGTGGCTCAAACAAGTGAGCAAGTTGCAGAACTAGAAAAGGTTTTCAGGAAGAAAGGTATTGGATTGACCTGAAAAATAAGTCAAGAGAATTATATTTGATACCTTAACATATTGAGATAAAAGACAAGGAAAGCATGGAAGAATTCAGGAAAACACTGCAAAAATAGAAAAAAAGATGAATAATCAGAAACAACACAAA